CAAGTGGAGGAAGTAAACGTTCACAAGGTTCTAATCGAAAAATTTCACCAACAAAACGAACGACTGGAACTAAATAAGCACTATTACTATTTTGTAATTATTCTTCGTATTCCGATATTTAAAAAAATTAGTTTTTTTTTTTTTTGTTTTTGTAAAACAAGTTATTCTTCTCATGTTCATTAACTTTTGTTTATATCATATGTTTTTTTTTTTTTTTGATAAATAGAGCTTATGCATTAGTGGGTATTGCTTAAAATAGTGAGAATAAATTATTATAATTATGAATGTGTATAGTGATTGATCAATTACTGAATAAGAGATGAAATTCTGTCGAATACTATCAGTATCAATGACGATGAATCATATGAAAAAGTAATTGAACACATAAAGAAGAAAATAAATTATTAAAAAGGAGAATAATGTATTATTGTGATGGAAAACAGCATTTATGTACGACATGATCGAGTGTTACATAGTTTTAGTTTTTTTTTACATAGTAAAATCTATTTCTCACGAATGGTAAAAGCAAATTGTTTGAAACTCGTAATATAGATAGAGACGAATTAGATCGACTATCAGTAAAAATTTCATTGATTTTCGAATAGCTAGCGCTGAGCTATTTAGAAAATATCAGCCGTTATGGAATATCAACAATTTTTCAAAAATCACAGTTTGAATTACGATGAAATTGCAAAGTTAAAATCAAACATATATTCATCATCAGCATCTCATTTTACATTAAATAATGTATTTCTCAATACGAGAAAAAGAAAAGTTGAAATTTTGATTCACTAACTACTAAATTATGTTCACAATTCAATGCTATTTTCAAATATCTTCTACTTATGAACAAATCTAACGCAATTCCTGAACTCAATAATTCTAAAAGATCGATACAAATATTAAATCAAACTTCTCAAAAGTAAGTAACATAAGCCAGGTAAATACACTATAAGCGAGTTTTGTTACCTAAATTTCATCAACGATAGAGATGATTGTTGAATGCATTGTTATTGTTCATAAACATCTAATGTTTATATGAATATGATTTATTTTTAAAGAGTACTTCGTATTAGATTTATTTATGGTAGAAACTAAATAGTATACTTTTTTTTTATATAGAATACAAGTATGAACATCGTGTTGTGACTGTGAAACTAAATGCCCGATATTGGATAGCTTCGATCCGGTTGCAAAAATTTGCACTCGTATAGGATACTATCTCAATATATCAAATAATTTAATGAAGTAATTAAAGTAACCATCGAGGTAAAATACGACGAAATTTATAAATCACTTTACGGAACCAAAATATTGCGCAACTCGGTGAACTTTTGATCTCATAGGACCATATATATATATGAATAACTAAGAAAGAGGTATTCATAGTTCATAATTATAAAGAACACAATAATAGAACTACTTTGAAGTATTTCAATAAAGATCTAAAAGCCTTGCATGAGTTGTAAACATAACAAAACAACTTTTTTTTGATGAATTTTTCAAACTATCATGTTTCAGTTTAAATTTTCAATCAAAAATATCAAGACATCATTGAAAGATAAACAACTAATCATCATCAAAGAATTCAAATTGAACTAGACATCATACTAGGCTAGGTTTTACAACGAATTTTGTTGCATCTATTCAAGATTATATGAGATATGTATTTCTATTAAAAGTAGTAAATCAAACAACAATAGTGGAAAGAGTTCATTGAAAAAAAAATGACGTGTCTGGTTACTGTTATAAATCGTACAAGTTTATAGTTTCTCATAGAAGTCCTTCAAAACAATTTTATTAATGCATTCTTTATACTTCGTTGTTAGTTATAAAAATTATCCCATTTGATTATAAAATGACCGAAATGTTTAACTATTTTCTTTCATAAACTGTTTTTAGAGCCATCAAGTATATTAAATTGATAGAGGAAGATTTTGAGCATATAAATGAAAACTGAAGTAATATTTAAAGAAAAAGTCTTCTAAATGTTGTTAGAAATCTACAGAACATGATATCTTGTAAATTCATATTCTAATAGTTAAAAAAATGTACTGGACACATAATTTCTTTTATGTTGGATTAAAAGAAAAGAACTGTAGGGGGTGAAAAAGTAAAATATTGTAATGATGTTTTTTATGCGGAAATATTTTTTCTATTTATAAACGATCATCTACTATTAATATATTTTTCAAGATGAAACGGAAGTAGTGAAATTATCACATGTGACCATACGTAGTAAAAAGAGGTTCAAGAATATCAGTTTCAACCTATCGACTAGTGAATGTGTTTAAGTCTCTTTTCTATCAAAACAAAAAGTCTCTTTCCATCATCTTCTATTTGAAAGATATTCTTTTTTCTTCTCTATTTATATTTATCTGATTACAAATCCTAGAATACTCCAAAAAGCTTCATTTTAAAAAATTGCTTTTCTTTTTCGTTTGAAAGAATATGTAAAGTTTTAGTAACTGTCAGAGACCGTTTTATGACTTAAGCTCTTTTATAATTCTGTAAGTAGAACATCACTTTTGTGACAGTTTTTTGAAGTATTGAACCTGTCATACTTTTTCTATACATGAAAATTAAGAATTTAAAAGAAATGGAATATGTCAGGTACGGGAATCTTACGTCGTCTTGTAAAATAAAAAGAAGATTAAATATATAGAATAAGAGCGAATAGAGAACTAGCGATTGTCAAATGAGCTATTTCTTATCCTTGTTTGTTGAATATCTTCTTGCAATTTGAAAACTTATAGATGAGCATAATTTAGAAGAATAATGTAGTTTGATAATGAACTTAGAATTTGAGAAATTGATCGTACTTCATTTTCTTTCGAGAGTATTTAATCAAAATCATTTTCTAATAGCTTCTATGTGTATTTAATATGAAATATAAAGTAAAATTAGTGTTTAGAGAAGTAAAGCTATAAGTTGACAAAATTAAAATATTGCTTTTGTCATTTCTTCCACCCTCATTTTTTAATCTTATTTATATGTCATTTTTCTAATGCTCCACTTTGATTTCTATAAGTATCTCACGGGAGTAATTATACATCCATAAATTTGCAATTAAATCAACAGTAATATAAAATGACATTTGCTTGCATATGCTTATTTCAATTGTTTTATTAACTAAAAATGTACGGTGTTCAATTTGAGAATACGGTCATTAAAACAATAAAAAAAGATAGGTATTAATCGATATTTTGTTATAGTTGAGTTTTCTATCACATTATACAGTTAGAAGCTGTATTTAAAAAGCATAGTTTAGGGTTTTTCAAGTTTTTATTATGTTGTTCAGACAAATGAATTGATAAATAAGTATTTCAAAATATTCTGAAAACTTTAGTTTCCTTCGCAAAATTTCCTTTCGTTCTTGCTCAAGATTAGATCAAAAACTCAATGTGTTCAAAATTGTACTTTGATTAGACAAAACAGACGGTGAATGTGCGGCAGAGGTTTAGATCCCAGTAAGAAAGAATTTCGACATGAGTTTGAATAAAAAGAATTTTTCTCAGTAGTAGAATAAAATCTCGAAAAACCTAAACTATATTTGTGAAGTACAAACTCAAACTGTTCTAATCAGATATGAAAGTCAGTTGTATCTCTTTATAGAAAAATCTAGAGAGCAACATGTAATGTTGGCTCGAAGTTTTCATCGCTCCATCCTTGCGCTACTTGGATTACGTTCATATTATCTGAAACAAACCTTTTTGAAATTCGAAAGAAATGAAAAAATTAAAATATCTCCTCCTAAAAAATCATTCAAAAAAATTGAAATCCGCACATATTCTGAATCAGTTTCGTCACGCTCTATCTAACCATATGTAAGAAAAAGAAAAGAAAAACCTTCTGCTTTAATTTTGCATCTGCATCATCTTAAGTCAGACACAAGAGCTACTTTTCACACTCTCATATCTGAAACTATATGAAGTACTGCGTTCTTCGATTTAAGTTTAATAAATTGTTGAGACATTATTGGTTTTTACAAGTCTATCAATCACTAACGAAGTTCAACTGGCTTTTAACTTTTGTAAGTAATCATAAAATTTATCGAGTTCACAAGAAGTCAATTTCATAGAAAACTATTATTTGAAAGCTTAAAATACTTATCAATTTTAATAACTAACTATGGGAAAAATATTTACTATAGCTTGATGATTCGAATATCTCCTATCAAAAACAATTCAGTTAGCAATAGTATATAATGTATGGAAGTAAGCATGAAAAGTAATTAGTGAGCAAAATGTACTAAGACAAGTGTTAGAACAAAGTATTAGGAAATGACGAGAAACTTAGTTCATTTAATCGTCATTATGTCCACTTGAATTCTTCTTTTCAATAAAGAAGTCGGTCGAAGAATCACTTCACAACATTCTTTGATAGTTTATCAGATTATGAATTATGCCTATCATCAATGAGTAGAATATAAAGTTGCATTATATATTGTTTTTCAAACCACTTGACGCCTAGTTGTCATACATGATTGTTCTAGAATGCTAAAACTTCAAACTATAAATGAGTCTAATCCTCGCTCTCTTTCATATGTCGCAACACATTATTAGTGCGATTTTTTTTCATCATGACTTACACATTGATAATAACGTATAAATTCGTTAATCGATTGACATAACGCTTACAGGTCAAGTAGTTTTTATAATGTTACAAATTTGAATCCAGCTTTTCTATAAAAGAAAAATCTAAGCTTTATTGTATTCAACTTAAAAAGGCACTTTTCATCCCACGTCATTAAATTTCTTGATGGCAACATCTATTTCCATTTTTGATAAATAAATGTCATTAGACATACGCTTCACATGATTCTTTATTATATATTTTTGGTTTTTTTGAATATCATATAAATATTAAAATGTGTTCTTTAACGTCTTTTTTTCTAACAATTTTCTTGCGCACTATTATTTATGAGAAGAAACAAAAACAAAACTTCATCTATTACATTTTATCGACTCAGATTCTTAAAATTTCTGTTCTTAGATAAAATGCCTAACGACAATACTAGTTTAAGCGTTAATGTTGATTATTCTTATAATGATGATTTCATATCACCTATAGTAAAATTTTGGCTTTATTTGATTTTTCTTATTCCATCAATTATTTGTGCATTTTTTGTTCTTTATCATCTTCTTGGTGATCAAGGTCTTCGTCGATCTCTCCATAATCATGTAATTATTGTTTTACTTATAACAGTTGTTATTTGTCAAGTAACAATGTATCCCTGGATGCTTTATTATTACTATCATATTAATACTTGGTCAAAATCATTTGTTTTTTGTCTCATTTGGGGATTTATTGATTGGGCAATTTATCTATTACAATTGTTACTATTTGCTTGGGCTTCAATTGAAAGACATATTCTTATTTTTCATGATAAATGGGTATCAACTAAAAAGAAACGTTTCTTTGTACATTATCTTCCTTTAATTATCATTATTATCTATTGGTTTATATTCTATACTTTTGTTTATTTTTATCCTTCATGTGAAAATACTTTTGATAGTTCTCAAATGATCTGTGTTACAATTTGTTTATTTAACTCATTCTCATTTCGTACAGTAGAAATGCTTTTTCATTATATACTACCATGCTTCATTATTATTCTTCTTAGTATTACTTTAATTTTGCGAGTTCTATGGCAAAAACATCGCATGCATCAACCGATTCTATGGCGGAGACATCGAAAAATGACGGTTCAATTATTATCTATTTCAGCTCTGTATCTTCTTGTTACTGCTCCATGGGCAATCATGATCTTTTTGCGTATATGTGGTTTACCATCTAATGTCGGTGAAAGTTTTGAAAGTTTGACTTACTTCATTAGCTATTATATCGTACTTTTTTTTCCGTTTGTTGCTGTTTTATCCTTGCCTGAACTTCGTACTAAATTCAAAAGAGTTCTACATTTACGAAGAGCAAGAAGAATTGTTCGACCAGAAATATTCGTTCTAACAGGTGTGAAAAATCAACAGGTACCTATGCAACAGACACTTGCTCAATAGCTAATGTATGTTCACTCTTTTTATTTTTGAAATAAACATAATTCAATAGTTAATGATTAAACATTAAATTTCTTGTTTCTTATAACATATTTATCACACCATGGAAAATTTCGGTTCCAAATCGTTCATCTTTGAAACTGTCAGAAGAGAATTTCATTCAAAGGAAATTGCTTTCTTTGATGTTTTCTTATTCGAAATAATGAACGCATGCCAGACGACCCAACATCATTTTTGAAAAGAAAAACATTTGTTCTGTGTAGTTCTTCAAATTGCTTAATGCTATCTCCTGGATTACAAATCGATTGGCAAGCAACAGAATTCGTTCGAGATCATGTTGTTTCTTAAACTAAAGAAAACAAATGAAGTTAGCTGAAGCAAAGCAAAAATGCTATTCGAATGAGGGAATCCATAGGAGGGGGAGGACAGAAAATATAAAATCAGTAGTTACATGATCCCAAAAGTCTCTTTTTACTAAATAACCTATTAAAAGAGTTTTCATTTTTCTTTATTTTGTGGAGAATAATTTATTTATTTATCTTTATTTTCTCTTGAGTCTTTATTTTTGTCTTTATTTTTATAAAGATTGAATTAAACCCTAGTCCTAGTTCTTTGTCTATTTAATGTAAATCGAAACAAACATTTAAAATAAAAGGTTGGACGAAAACTAATATTCATAATAAAGTTTTCCAATCTACTGCTTTATTCAATTTCAATAGTAACTTTAGTCGAGCTTTTTTCTTCATGTGCTTGACATGCACAGACTTCAAGATGCATCTATATCATCTGAATTTCTTTCTATAGATGAGCACTTAAATGCTTGTATGAATTATATGCATACTTAGAGCAGCTCGAATCTTGAAGTCATGAAAATCATACGAATGAGCACACTGGAAACAATCAACTAGAATAAAATACTAAAAGCATTTCTCCTCAAGATAAAAGAATGCTCTTGTCATGAAGGATGTTTGAATCTAGTTACACATAGAGATTCTCTTTTTGACCTACGTATTTCAGATTTTGTTATCTAAGCTATGAATTTTTATTATGAATCTAATCCTTTTGAATGTAAAATTGAAGAAAAGAACGAAATCATATTTTAAATATAATAAAAACTAGTTTCACGCATCACGTATACCGTTTCCATGGTTGTGAAAGGTGATCTAATTCAATGGTTTATTAATATCTCTATTCTTTAATTTTAAATATTAAAAACTATTTAAATAGATGCCAATTCAATGAATGATTGAAGAAGAATCTGCCATCTTTACAATTACCAATTATATATGAAATTAAATCACACTAATAATGATGTACAATCACATCTTAATTCTCAAATAAACATGTTTGTTAGTCGTGTTTTTTGGGTTTAACTAAATATAATTACAACAAATTCACGTTTCGATGATAAACAAAAAAAAAGTTTTATTTATTTACAATTTTACTTGGATCTAAAGAATTACATTGTTCCATATCAATTTTCATTAAATGAACTAGTTCAAATGACATTACAATTTTTTTTTTTTTATTTGAATTTATTTGTCTATAATATAACTGAAAATAATCTTCTACCGTTTTTATATTGATTTTATACATTAAATCAATATTGATGAATTTTTATTTTAGACAATGATTCAACATAAATTTCAATTGATCAAATTAATGTTTCAATTATATAACATACTAAACTCAATAGAGAATATCATTGATCAAAAATACGACATGATATCATACAAATTGATAATAATAATAAAGGAATGAATTCGACATATTATTGATAGAAATGATCATGGATCGAAATTTCATAAAGATTATTATTTGATTAATATAAGTAGGTTGTGAAAGTGAGTGTAGGTATGGGTAAAATAAGATCTACGCCCACACCCACATCAATCCTCAATAGAAAAATAATTGAATTATACAGGCTGTAATGACAAACTGGATGAGTAGCTAGCCGCTACCCTCGGCAATGGTGTTTATTAGCTTCTTCACATATAACGCATGCTTATATAGGAGAAAATGAGAGAGAGAGAGAGATGAGGGTGGGTGTGGATGTAGGTACTCTTCTCATCTACATCCCATACCCACACCACACCTACCCTAAGATAGTTTACTAGCACATTTTTTTGAGTGTATTCAACCAGAGCGAACAGATTTAATCGTAGCTACACGTAGACTCGTTTGAAAATAAATAACACTGGAGTACTAATGAAAGAAACGAAAAACATGCACATGTAATTGAGTGATTTATGAAGAACCGATGCGACAGTAAACAAAATAACGGAAAAAAGGTCGACGTAAAATTGGTGAATCCGATAAATAGGCAAGAAATTTATAACAAGAAACCGCAAAATTTCTTAAATAAAATCTTCAAAGCAGACGAATATGCTAAACCAGTACAAAATAAATGTAGAAGTCTCTATGAACAAACTGAATATCATTACAAAGAGGCAAGTGCCTTTGATACATACAGCACAAGGACTACAATTGTGTTTTTTACAATTAAAACTGTTATATGGATAAATTATCATCAAATTATATCAAAATTCATTCTAATAGAAAAGTAGTATTAAGAAAAAGTATTTTAATTTTAGTATACGTTTCCATCATTTGATTATGCAATTGAAGCTATTTTGTCTGCTATGTAGTAAAAGTTGACAAGAAGTTTGTGATTCAATACTAAATATCGTTTGAAATGGTGGATTAACTTGCACTAAGTGAAGTTTTGAATAGAGCTTTTCAATAAAGCTTAAATTTTCTACTATGAAAAAACTTTACATGACTATCATACTAGCAAAGCACTGAGTAAGAATTCAAACTCGAATTGTTCTTTGATATTTAACATAATTTAACTCTCTTCTTGGATTTTAGTTTTATTTTTATCTTAAATTTTTATTCAATTTAATATTAATTTTAAAATTGTAACGTTTCGAGTCTCCATGGATACTT